ATCAGGCAGGAACGAGCACCTTCTGTCTACTGAGCAGATGAGGGACAGTGCAAAACTCCACCAGAACAAGGAGTTAAAAACAAGGCCAAAATAGGATAGAAACCCTAGGGTGCAAACAAAAAGGGTACATTTACAAAGGGTTTCTGGTCTTCTTGATGATCCCAAGTTTTGCAAGCATCATTATTTGCACAATAACACTATTACTCCTAAAGAGATATCTACAAATAAATTTCATAAGATATTCTGGATTGAATACTATCATACAAAATAAACATTTGTCAGTACAGAATAATTTTTCAAGCAAACACAGCATTGAATGTACTCCTATTAAGACAGCTATACAAAGGTGGTTTTTAAAACCCATTTTCAAGCCATTCAAAAAAATATGATGTTACGCTCTGTTACGATAATGCAGCATTCTACTAGCATATGAGTAGGAGGCAGACATACACATAGACATTAATATAATCATAATAAGGACACATGAACAGGTTCACATGCTATTTACTATTGTGTTCACATAGTGCTTGTTTTCAAGACTCTTTTCAACCATTTATCAAATTCCTCATACCTGCTGGGGGGTAGTAAACTAGGTAATTTGTAAGACTGTATTAAGTTTAAAAATCTCTGTTTGCTGTTTTTTTTTTTTTTTTTTAATTTAGCTTGGTAGAAATGAGTTTTAATTTCTGCCCCCCAACCAGATCTGAGGAACACATACATCCAGCTGAGAACTTGTATGACATATTTAAACCTAGAGCAAATTTTTACATTCAAGATATAAACCCCAGAAAAGGGGGATTTATAATGAAAACATTGACAGGCATTTAACCATAGCCATACTGGTTATTTTTGCTATACAATGTATCAGTCTTATTTTCTTTCAGACCATGTGAAGAGACATCTGTAATAGTACATCTTTGGTGATACACATTATGGAAAGATATTGGAAAGTTGTAACATACATTATGGAAATTACATCTCTGAACATACAAACATACAATATGAAACATTTAGACATACCTAAGTTATACAAAGTTTGGTAGCCACTACCATACTTTGAACACGAGACTAAGGTGTTTTCTAGACTTCTTGTTGTTAAAGCTAGATCTGGCAAACACTGCACACACAGATGATTCCACCAACGTGAGCAGTTTGAGAGTTCAGAGGGACAAATGCATACGAATAACTCATGTATGTAACTGTTTGCAAGATCTGCCCCTAAAAGTAATCCTTTATGTTAACAGATTACTACTAAAAATCCAATTTTGAGACTCAGTAATTTTTTGTTTGCTAATTATTCACTTCAATTTTACGGAAAGACATTATACTGAAACTTGCAATTAGCAAAGATTTAATAAAACAAGTTATGGGAAACTATGCTATAGACATTTACTTAATAAAGACTTACACCATATGCCCAGCACCATCTTCATACAGATGTACTGCAGTTTAATCTACTCCTAGAAAAGTATGGTTTCCTACTAGTAATTATTTTAGTAATTAAACACCTCACAACAATTTAATATTATCTAGGACTTTATTATTTCATACAGAAAAAAAATTACTATGTCTACCCCTGTAATTTCTTCATCATTACTTTTACCATAATTTTCTTTTACCTATAGAAGAGGAAAAGCCAAATTATCTCATGCAAAAAATGTGATGTAAGCAGCACAACATTCAAAGTGCTAAAGAAATAAAGGATTTCTTAAAGAAACAAAAATCCATAATAATTAAAAGACACAGCAAAGCAAAATAAGCTATCTTTTTACTTTATAGCTTGGTGGTCTGCTACAGAAAACATATGTACACGGAATCTGCATAATCATTAGTTGTATCAGTTACTTGCTGGTATGCGCTAAAGCAGCTGCAGTAGATTTTACATTAAAAGTTTTGGAGGGTTTTGGTGTGGTTTGTTTTTTGGTTTTTTTTTTTTAAGATTTAATTTCTGTGAACTAAATCCTGGCAGGTGCTGAGTGCATCCTACATTTCCAAAGCAATTTAGAGCATTCAACTCTAATAAAGTGGGCATAAGGAGTGACACTTCTACATCACACGACAGACACAATGGAGCTGTAATCATTACTGGAAATGAAGAAACCTTAAATGAATGTGAATGTAGTTTGCGTAGGAGCACAGATTGATGTGATTTTTCCCAATGCTCACACTCTTCTTAAAATACTTGTAAATGTTCATTGGATCTCAGGGTGTACTTTATGTATGAATGACTCCTAAATGGGAAGCTTTTCATATAGTGCTAGGCGTCCAAAGCAGCATATGCTTAGTGCCATCTACTGGGAGTGCCTGCCTATAATCTGACTAAACCATGCCGGCTATAAAATATGCTACGGGCAAACTGTGCACTAGGTTTGCACACATTGAAACGTTTAGTCCTAACTACAGGCAAAAAAATATTTTTAAAATGCAATTTGGAAGAATAGGTCCACACTCCAGGCACTAATGTACAAATAGAAAAAGAGCAAGTAAAAAACACTTCAGTAGTACAACTGTTAATTCAGTTTACAAATAATCCAGTATAACTCGCACATGCCTACAAAATAGTGTTTCAAAGAACAGACAGAGGGTCATCCCTGTTCTAAGGTATTTCTTAGCATTGTTTTATTCATTTAACTTTTTGGAACAAGAAAACTTCACTTGCTTCTGATCTACAACATTGACTTTATACTAAATACAAAGTGAAAATTACTTTTTATTACTTTGTTCCTTACAGGAAGCACATAGATGCCATTCCAAGCACAGAGATTGAAATAATACTTTTATTCAAGTCCTTGTCCTGCAAATATTTAACTGCATGGAGTTTAAAACTGTATTTGAAAGCCCAATTTACAGCTCTGCCCACACTTTGCTCCCTTACGCTGAGCTGGCAGGGGTTCCAGAAGGTTATAAAATCTTCTTCTGTATGGGATTTGCCATTCAACCAGAAGAAGACCCAACTCCACATCACGCCAGGCGTGGGGGGCACATAGGCAGCAGGGCTGCAGGGCTGCAACTCGCAGAGAACTGGGTGCTGGAAGAAGTACTAACTCCAAGTGTTATGTTATTAAAAAGTCATGAGAACTTGGGGCATTTTCTGTATATTCAAAAGTTAAAGCCACAGTGCACTGTGGCATTACAGCAGATGTTGGCTCTAGATCTCATTACCATGTTTAATTTGATACATGCTACACCATTTACTTGCAACCCCCTCAATACACCACACACAAAAAAACAAACCAAAGGCAAAGCAAGTCTACGTTCATTTATAAGCATCTGGGGAATTTAGATTACTCTTAAAATATGTTAGATATGTGATTGTATATTATTCCACTGTTAGCAGATGAATTTGGGTTCATTTTATATATATATATATATATCTCTATAAAGTAGCCAGTCAGTGGAACTCAACCTATTAATGTTTGGACAGTTACAGATCAAAGGGACAGGAATAAACAGCAGTGTTAGGAGGTTTTTATTCCAAAAGGTGACTACTGGATTACGCCAGAAAAACAATTGACAAAATAGCTAATCTAATGCTTTGCAAACAGGTACACAATAGCAAAACCTCCCACAGGCTGCATTTCTAGCTGACCAACTTTTAAAATCTCCTTTTCAGAGCAGGAACAAAATGGCCAGAAGACTGAGCACCCTCATTTTAAGGCAGACACCAGAAATATGAGTACACATCAAAAGGTGCATAATAGAGGGCTAAGGAAATTTGCTTACCCTGTATTTTCAGGATTTTAAATCTGGCTCAGCAGCAAATATAATAGGAAACCAAGGTCAGGCTGACACAATGTATGCTATTCTCTCTCTTCCTCAATATGTGTTTGCAGCTCCTATCTAAGTTAATAAGAGTTTCGTGCACATGTGGGGGGAATCAGAACACAAACACTGCAAAAATTGGACTCAGATTTAGTTCAAACAAAGTGTAATCAGCTTTAGAAAAATCCATCAGCTTGAAAACTGATGTCTTATCACTGAAAAAAATCTTTAAAACATCACCTCCATACGCTTGTTAAGTCCAGCTCTGCGAAAAAGTACTGGTAACATTTTGCACCCTTATAAGCCAGTTGTAAGTGTAGTACAAACATCCGAGCTGGTTCTCTTTTGATGCTTCAAATACTGATCAGCCAGGATTGTATCTTTTTTTATTTGGGTGTACAAGAAAATTCCTAGTAATGTTCAAAATGAACTCAGTGCAGTTTTTATTTTCTCCTACATAACCACGCACACTGAAATTATTACACAGACATTATGGATACTGTTTCTGTTGAAGTGAAACACAAAATACTTATTAGGTTGAAGGTTTTAATGATATAACAATTCATGGAGACAGGGTCTTATGGCACCCTTCACAGATCTAATGGCAGATACTGGACATTATATGAAAAGTGCAGCTGTATCTGGGCATTAAATTGCAGTTTCCATTTATTTCTTTGGAGAAGTGTCACGTAACTAAAGAATATGTTGTCAGAGGAATTAAATAATTGTATTTTAAATTCTGCACACACTTTGGACATAATTTTCAGTGCAACACATTTTGTTTATAATAAAAATGTATAAAAGGACACATGGAGTGTAACTATAGTACACTGCTAAAGATTTTGGAAAATATCGGTAAGTCCTATGATTTAACAGCAATCCATATGCTAAATTCCATATGCATATTTTTTAAAAACAATTATAAATGGAAATGGACACAATTTATTTTCAATTTGATTGCACCGTTTGTGCAAAGAACAAGGAAAATAATATAAAATTTGAGAGAGAATATGTTGGGCAAGGAAGTTGGAGAGCATTTCCAAGCATCCTAAAATCTAGGATATGAAAATGCTCACCCAAGCCAGTGACTTTTACTAAAAAAAGGAAACAAACTTCTGGTTCAAAGGGAAATTTAAACAAACCAGAACAACCCATAGCACATCGTTTCCTGCAGCAGAGACACCCATTCCTAAAAGGGCCTTCATTACGCATGACACAACAAGCAGCACCCATTCAACCTGAGGGAAGCCCACAGGCTCGCAGGGCCACTGGCTGGCTCTTTGTCACCAAATGCAGCAGGTTGAATGCAGACATCACTGTGATATCCTCACCAACAAAACCAGAGGCAAAGAACAGGGGCAAGAGCTGAGTAGGGAAGAAAAAAAAAAAAAAGAAAAAAAAAGATGAGAACAAATCAAAACATCAAAAATGTTAAGATACATTCACAGAAAAAACAATGCTTACAATTTTAGGAGATCACCACATGACAGCACAGTTCTAAATGCACTTTTCTTAGTACTTTTAGCCCATTTCTGACAACACCCCCTCCAACATTTTGATATATATTACACGGTATTCGGTGAGGCAACTTTATATGCTACCAATTGAGAGGGAGGGGGCATTTTTATAGGGGGCATTCACGCTGCTTTAGATACCCAGCTGAGAGCAACTCAGGGTAGCAACCTATGCGGTCACAAGTGCAGAGCTACTAAGGGAGAAACCTCACGACCTCAGCTAGATAGAGGGAATCTTGCTTTGAA